TAGCACTACTTGCACAAGTCCCTTCTAATGCAACCAAGGAGTGTGATGTGCAGCAGATTCACTGTATCACACAGACGCAGGCATGCCTGCAGGAATCAGAAAGATTGAATCCAGTGAGTAGAATTTCAGCACGTGAGCCTTTCTGTGACAGCAGAAAATATAAAGGGAGGGAGAGGAGCTAGTGATCATAAAACTTCCTGGCATCGGTTGACACAGCAAGGGCAGAAAGGACACAGCTAATTTTAATATTTCCTCTACATAAGTGCTTTTTCCTCCCCTTCAAACACAGTGAAGATGCTTTCTCTGATCATAAACTCTTCAGCAGGGACAATACCTACCTTAGTAAAGGCAATTTATGCTCATCTGGCAAAGTTACCAGTCTCCTTTTGTAGGCTCAGACAGTCTTTGCTGGCTAACAAATGGGACTCAACTGTGCAAAAAGAGGGATAGATTCCAGTCCATACAAAGAAAGCCCTTTCCAGCAGCACATCTTTTTCCAGGTAGGATCCTAAGCACCTCCGACTCCTTGCCAGCTTTTGTTACTGCTGTTTTAGGCCATTTTGGCTCTATGCATCAAGCACCCACCTTTACAGCCAACACACAGACCCTCTTTCAGCCAGTCTTCTCCAGAGGCTACTTAATCTCCTTGGGAATGGCCTCCAAAACTTGACAGCAATCCCTATTGTAGATTGCTTTAAATATCATTTTTCCACAGAAGCGTGCAAAATTACAACCAGATCTGTGTTTTATATATATAAAAATTGTTAGCCTAACCAAAAATGTGTTCACTAGATTTGAAGAGAGAACTCCCATTCCATTTTACCTTCACAATGGTGCTGGAATGGTTGAATAAAGTGTGGCCCTGCTGCCCATATGCCATTCAGCTTCTGTCTGTCTTTTTGTTTACACTGGGAATACAATAGGAACTATAGTCCTTCCAATGCATCATTTATAAGTGTATTCTACCTCTGAATGTACAGACAGAACTGGCTCTGTGAATGAGCTCTGTGAATATTGCCAAGACACTGTGCTTTGTTCAGCATTATTCTTCACAATAGATACCACACTTTGGAAGTAATTTTAAAAAGGGAATCAAAATAGTGGTACTTTTAGCCTTTGTTTCTTTTATACCACACTGCATTCTCTGTCTCTCACTCAGCTGCTTCTATTATACTGACAAATTAAATAAACCACTCCATTGCTAAAGAGGCTTGGGCGGGCTGGGCTTCGGTACACTGCCGCACTAGGAAGTCGAAATAAACATTTATGCCGGTTTTATTCTTAACAAATTTAAGCTAACTTTAGTGAAGCATCCTTTCTTTTTTTTTTTTTTTTTAAGAATGAATGAAAGAAAGAAAAAGGGAAAGGGGGGAAAAAAGGAAGGAGTACTTCAAATTTCTGAGTTGATCTGCAGCATCAAGGGATCTGGCATCCGAAGCAATGAAGTAATGAGAAGCCATGTGTCCAGGTAATGCGCCTGCTTTTTTGGTGCTCCACTATTTAGAAGCACTGCAAGTTCATTTCTGCTGTGGGGCCTCTAGGAGAGTGACTCGGTGAGTTACGGGCAAAGTGGTGCGGTGCAGACAGGGTCCCTTGCAGAGGCTCGCTGTAAGCAGCTTGCAAACTTCTGCAGCAAACTTTCCACTCTATCCGGGCATTTACCTCTCCTGCTGCAATGTTTTGGAAGGTGTTTTGTTCGCGTGATCTTCAGCATACAGAAATAAGAGCAGGTGGGGGAGTGTTGAGAAAAGTGTGGTGGATGGAAAGGACAGCTCTGGCTGCATACAGATGTGTATTTGTAGACAGATGGATAGGCAGAAAAATGTGTTGGTTTGTATTTTTGCTGTAGAATAGTATTCACATTGCATCTGTCATAAAGAGAGAAAAAAGAAATTGAAGATAAACTGGCAATGTGGTCTTTTTCTGCATGAAGGTGCTTTCTGACTTTTGTGTTTTCTCTTTACCAGGCAGTAAACAGAGAGGAGGAGAACTGGGGAGAAACTTGTGGTGGGTTGCTTGTGTGTAGATTAGGTATGAAAAGCCATCCTCCGCATTTGCAAGCGCTGGGGTGCGGTGGTGGGGATGTACACTGTTTACAGAGGCTTGTCCATATAGTCCAGTATTCTCGAAAATATTATCAAACAAACAGTGTTATTTCCCCAAACGAGACCAGAGTACTGAGCACAATACTGCTTGGGTTAGGTCTGAAAGCTCCTCCCGTACTCATGGACTAGCAGTGTGCGACTAATGCAGGACAAGTCTCACCCTGATGTGCCTTTCCCCTCCTCTCCCAACAAAGGGCATGGACTACAGTCATGAATTTGAGCTAGGGAGGGATTTTTTTTTTTCGGGTTTGTGTTTCTTTTAGGGAGCCTTAGAAGTAGTCAGGTTCCTTCTGAAATCGGCACTAAATGCCTGCTGTGGGCTGTGAAAACCTGAGGTTCCTCTCTGAGGCAGGGTGGTTGTAAAACTGGCTGAGGCTGCTTCAGTAGGGATGGCCTTTGGCAGCCAGGTCAGGCAGGGAGCAGTTGGCAGGGAGTGATCAGGGCTCATTTTTTAGTAATAAAGGAAGACTTAAAAAAATGGGG